TGAAGCTGGAGACACTTCAATGAGTATGAAGCCGCCCAAGCTTTTCTTGGAAAAATCAGTAATGAGCATTCCTTCCCGCAATGTCACATCTTTGAGCAGCGACACTGATATAACCAAAAGCCAGTGAACGACAAAACCAAGTGGGCAGGAAAATGTGGGGTGGGGTACTCGATCTGACCCCAGCGTTTGATACGCATCTCCATTCCAACAGGTACATCCAGCCCCCACTAAGCGTGGGGCTCTCTTGGTATGGCAGAGAGATGCTGTTTTCTCTTTTCAGTTTACGTGTGTTTGGGAGGTTTTGTTTTTAATCAGAGCATAGCTGACTGATAGTGTCTTGGGGGAACAGCAAAGTGATTCAGCTATACGTACACATACACGACCTTTTCTGTTAGAGAGCACAGTGCCTCGTGCGATACAGGAGGTCGCTGTTGCTTATCTATTTTATAACACAGTAGTGTGTGTCTGGTTTCATTTTTTAAACCGCTGCTAAGTTGTTAGGACATAAATAGCTAACACGTTGTGTGGACCTAACTCCTCATACAGAGAGTGGGAAGGACACGCTTTTGACTTAGGGGGTGCTGTGAAAAGTCGCTGAGACTCGAGGCCAAGGACAGAGGAGGCACGGAAGTCTCCAAGCTCTGTTATCAACGCCCTGGTTTGGCACTTGGCCCGGGCGGGGGGCGGGGAGGGCCCCCAGGATGCCTTCTTGTTTTTTCTACTGTTGGCGCCTCACCCCCTTCTCCGGGGCCTGGACTTATCCATTCACGGAAGAGGCCTGCTCAGGAAACAGATGTGCAGGCTGCAGGGAAACCCACAATCACCGCCCACAGGAACCAGCCCAGGCCTCCATTCATAAAAACGCAGCAACTCCAGGGCCCCGAGACAGGAGGGGAAAGACCAGCGTGGAAGATAAGGATAATGATGAGCAAATAAAGCAGCTCACCAGAGAGGAAACAGAAATAACAATAATAATAATGATAAACCCAATTTGATCATGAAAGATTAGAGAGGAAATTGCACCCATAAAATTAGAATTGGCCGCGATTAGAAGAAGGAGGGGGAAGGGGAAAGAGAAGAAGGAAACAACGTCCACAGAAAAGAAAGAGATGCTTGGAAATAAAAGCAGGGTCACAGGATCGACAAAATAAAAACTGATGGAAACACGGAGCTGGTTATCTGGACCACAGTCCTCCTCCACTGTGTTGGCCAGACAGTCCACGGACGGAGTCAAAGCAATTCCTCAGATCCAGGAGCAAAACTAAACAGACAGATGAACAACTGAAAACGTTACAGTCCTGCAAGATATGTCCAGAGGGTCAGACTGTCTAGCAGAGCTTCAGAGACAGAGACGTTAGAAAGAAAGAAAGAATAAGAGAAACAATTGAAGCATCGTTTCCAGGGCTGAAGTTGCTTAGATCATGGTCCACCAAGGACCGAACAGGAAGAAGAAATATATCCACATCCTGATGACATGAAAGAGCACCAAACATGAAAGGAAACTTCTGAAAGTTCCCAGGACACAAACTAGAAGAGGGGACCATGTTGGGTATGAACCATTGGCAGCTGCAGGAAGCGGAGAACACTCACAAAACGCTTAAAGGAACGCAGAAGGCTCTGGCCTCGGCTGGCGCTTCTTTGAGTGGTCCGTGTGAGTGACGTGGATTATGTTGCTGTTGGGGCAAGTCCAATCACATGCCTGGTTTTGGAGGGGATAGAAGCCACATAATTATAATATTATGTGCTGCCTGGGAGGGTCAACTACCACAGGAAAGGAACAAGCTGCAGGAGAAGTGGGCACTCTCACCCTATCGAAGTTAAATACACACACATGAGTGTATGAACTGGACAGACAGAGATGATGGTGATGAGAAGGAGGAGGAGGGTGGGTGGATGGATAGGCAAACAGATATAAACATTCTAAAGGACCTACCAAGTGAAATAAATCAGAGAAAGACAAATATCACATGATATCGCTTATATGTGGAATTTTTTAAAAATTATAAAAATGAACTTATTTAAAAAACAGACTCTCAAACTTAGAAAACAAATGTATGGTTGCCAAAACAGACAAATGAGGGGAGGGATAAATAGACTGTTTGGGACTGACATATACACACGACAACAAAGGTCTGTCTAGTCAAGGCTATGGTTTTTCCAGTGGTCATGTATGGGTGTGAGAGTTGGACTGTGAAGAAAGCTGAGAGCCAAAGAATTGATGCTTTTGAACTGTGGTGTTGGAGAAGACCCTTGAGAGTCCCTTGGACTGCAAGGAGATCCAACCAGTCCATCCTAAAGGAGATCAGTCCTGGGTGTTCATTGGAAGGACTGATGTTGAAGCTGAAACTCCAATACTTTGGCCACCTCATGCAAAGAGCTGACTCATAGGAAAAGACCCTGATGTTGGGAGGGATTGGGGGCAGGAGGAGAAGGGGACGACAGAGGATGAGATGGCTGGATGGCATCACCGACTCGATGGGCATAGGTTTAGGTAGACTCCGGGAGTTGGTGATGGACAAGGGGGCCTAGCGTGCTGCAGTTCATGGGGTCACAAAGAGTCAGACGTGCCTGAGCGCCTGAACTGAACTGAACTGAACATATGTGAAATCGGGAACTCATAAAGACCTACCATGTGGCACAGGGAACTCTAGTCAGTATTCTGTAGTAACCTAAACGGGAAACGATCTGAAAGAGATTAGATATATATGTGTTTGTATAGCTGAATCACTTTGCTGTGCCCCTGAAACTAGAACAACAGTGTAAACCAACTCTGCTCCAATATAAAATGAAAACATGAGTAAATAAAAATTTAAAAATCAATGAATAAAAGGATACAGAGCAGACAGGTGGGATGAGGAGGGATGTTAATCACTCATTTGTGTTCTACTCTTTGTGACCCCAGGGACTGTAGCCTGCCAGGCTCCTCTGTCCGTGGATTCTCCAGACAAGAGTACTGGAGTGGGTTGCCATGCCCCCCTCCAGGGGACCTTCCCATCCCAGGGATAGAACTCACGTCTCTTATGTCTCCTGCATTGACAGGTGAGTTCTTTACCACTAGTACCACCTGGGAAGTCCAGCGTTCACTATCTACACAGTTATTCTCCTTGCCGTCCAGAACTTTCCCATCAGCGATGGGGCCAGCTGTCCTTGGATGGGAGAAGCAGTTCAAAAAAAAGTCTCCAAACATGGTGGAAAAGTCTAGATCATCTTGGGAGAAGAGAGCATGAGGGAGAATCCCCCAGTCACCCTTTCCTGGCCTTCTGTCTCAGGGATGCCCTTCAATAGGTGGGCCTGCAGCGTGGACAGATGTCACGCAGGGCCCACAGCCCGCAGCCCCAGGATGGCCTGGTTTTGCATCCATGGAGAAACCACGGGCAGGGGAGGAAACTGGACTGAGTCTCACCTGCCCTGGGCTAGAGGCGCAGGTCAAGGCATGATGTCCCATACTTGTGCAGGGGCCTTTCTGATGCTCAGATGAATTTATCACACAAAAGCCTCTCGTAGACACAACCTCACACCTGCAGTGGGAAGGGCCCCGGGTGCCCCAAGGGCCACAGCTGACCCTCAGGGTCTGAGCGAAGACCTGAGTCAGTTCTCTGGTGGCCGGCCGCCTCCAAAACCTTCCCTTGGCTAGTCACCAGGATCTCACTATAGAAAATGTATCAGTTCAGTTCAGTCACTCAGTCGTGTCCAACTCAGCAACCCCATGGACCGCAGCAGGCCAGGCCTCCCTGTCCATCATCAACTCCCAGAATCCACCCAAATTCATCCCAATGTGAGTCAAAGATTCTTTTCTGAAAAGTAATCAACAAGCATCTGCAGAAGAAACCGGGATAAAAAGTACAATTCAAGTCTTATTGTTGCCTCTGTCTCTCAAAAGGAAAAAAAAAAAAGCAGACATTTTTGGCATATAAATTTTATTTCAAAACATTTGATCCCAAGACTGTCTTTGACAATAAGTGTTTTTTGTTGTTGTTTTTTTTTAATGCATCAGGACAGCCATTAACAGGGTATTCATCCTGGGGTGAAGCTTTCCACAAGATGCACCCCCTACCGTGGATGACACTTTAATCATCTGTCCTTGGAAAAGGATGAACACAAAATCAAGTCGTGAATATTGAATATTATTGAATTGAATATAACCTTGAATATTATTATATAAACAAAATGAGTCTCCAGCATCAGAAAACACTTAAGAATTAAGAATGTGTTTTTAATGCCCGTGAAAAAAAATGTGATGAAGCAAGTGGGTGAAAGGGGGACTGTTTAAAGCCGAGATAGATGCTCTTCCCTCCAAGTCTCCCCCGAGCCTGCTGTTGGGAGTCTTTGGGTCCCTGGGGAGGACACTTTGTTTTCTTCCACATTCTGACATCATCTGATGCAACCTGATGCAAAACGACCTGCTTCTTGTCACAGGAGAAACTGAAAGAGAGGCGGGGATAACTCTGTCCCAGGAGAGTCTCTGGGAGTGGGTGGGGGTGCAGCCAGAGGGCGAGGGTGGGGCCGACCTCATATGAGCTTCCCATAGTTCAGGGAAGCGGTGGTTCCTTGGAAAAGCAGGATCCATCTTTAAAAAGTGGGAATCCTTGCAGGTGGGGGTCATAATGCAAACTTGTGGATAAAAAGCCAAGGCTTATTTTAGAATGTCTGAGTAACTTCTCCACAGGTCATGGGAAGAGGGCTTGGAGCAGAGCATCGGTAGAAGTAAGATCCCCGAAGAAGGGAGAGACGGCTTCCCTGGTGGGCTCAGACCATAAAGAATCTGCCTGCAATGCTAGAGACACAAGTTCAGTCCCTGGGTCAGGAAGATCCTCCGGAGAAAGGAATGGCAGCCCACTCCAGTATTCTTGTCTGGAGAATCTCATGGACAGAGAAGCCTGGCAGGCTACAGTCCATGGGATCGCAGACGGTCACAACTGAGAGACTAACACACACACACAAGGAAGGAAGAGAACAGGAGTGATGCTAGTGGTCCTCAGTGGTGGTCCTGCGGGCCACAGGGGCCGGACGGGGAGCTGCTTCTCGGGCCCCTGCTTCCCGAAGAGGAGGCCAGCCTGGGGACTGTCACAGCAGGTGAGCTCGGGCCAGGCCAGCAGGGCAAACGTGCCATGAACAAAAGCTCCCTGAAAGGTGTCATTCGGGGCCAGAGCCCTTGGGATGACTCCGTGAGAACAGCACGTGAGCCACCTGTGGCCCACAGGACCCCAGAGGCCTGCTCCCCAGGCCTTACATAGACATGTAGCATCTAGCACACTGCTTCTCACAGAACACCGGCAAGTAGCATGTGTGAGCACAGAAATGAGAAGTCCTTGTTAAAATGGTTTATTTCATCTACAGATAAATGAATGAACTGAATAAAGAACAAAATGCAGACCGATAAGATATTGCATGAAGTTACCATCTTGTTATCGAATTCATTTGTATAATAACAAAAGCAAGCACATGCCAGGACTGACATAAGAACTTCAAGGGTTTTGAAGCACGCCATTATCCACTCTGTCGCCCATGCAGAGGCGGGAGGCTGAGGCCCCAGGGGTCAGGAAACACACCGAGGCCAGAGGGACGAAGGGCGCGGGACGCGACCCCAAGGAGTCGGGGACAAGTCGCAGCCCTCCGCCAGTTTGTGAGCACCACGCTGCCAAGTCACAATGTTAAGAACCCCTGTCTTTCCCTGTTGTCAGATTTGCTTCATCTTGTTCAGATTGTGTATATTCCAGACACCTTTCAAGCTTTCGGGTTACGTGGTTAACACATTGGCCAACAAGAACCAGACTGCGGCTTGTTTAGTTGTCTCTACACAGCTCCTCAAAGATGGGTGTTAGCCTAATTTCCTCATCGCTGACTGTGAGAGAATACTTAAGCTTGGAAGCCTTCTAAGTCACTGTTTATTTTAAGGCTCAAATAAAACAGGATCCATGAAATGGCTTCAAATGCCTTTCAGGGGATCTGAACTCACAGAATACCATCACTGGAGGTTTTTAAGATTTTATTTTAGTTGAAGCATAATTAGAGAAGAAAATAGTTTTCAAAAAATTATTGAGAAATTTTTCCACAGTGAGATTGTAAAAACATTAAATAAATTGCATAGACCTACCAAAGACACCCAGGTATTTCCAAATAGTGAGGTCATTTGGAATTGTATGTGATTAAGAATTATCATAGAGTAACTTTGTTATGATTCATAAAATCTTTAGCAATTGATTAATTTTTAAAATTATTAGCTCTTGTGAAAGATCTGAAAATACAACTACTTCATAAGTTGAGAATGGAATACTGCTAACTGAAGGTCTCTTGTGCAAATCCTACCTGGGGAACCATGGAAGATTTAAAGCTTTTCCACACTCTTCCCCACAAATACGCTCAGGTAAAATAATATTACAACACAGGAAAAGAGACGAACTTTTATCCACCATCAATTGTTTACTGAAAGTACACCCTGGGCCAAGCATTGTGTTGGTTAGGCCTTTGGGATCCAGATGAGTGGGGCCAATTCCCTGCCCACAAACTTCCTGTCCACAAACTCACTTCCTGTCCACAAACTTACTTCCTGTCCACAAACCTACTTCCTGTCCACAAACTTACTTCCTGTTCACAAACTTACTTTCTGTCCACCAGCGCCCTGGCTAGAAAGGGAGGTGAGAAGGATGAAGGCCGAAGTTGCAATGGGAACCCATGGTGGGTACCAGATCAAGGAGTCTCTCTGGCAGAGGGGACACATGAAGACGGGCGTCTGCACAGAATGAGCAGCGGGGGGTGGGGGGCGTCTACAGAGGAGGTGAGGAGCGGGCTGGCCCCTGGAGAATATGTGGGAATCAGATGCTCACGGGAAGCAGCGAGGGCCCCCGAAGCAGAGGAGACTCTTTGGTGAGCCAGTGTCCAATGACAATAAGAGGAGAAGACATTGTAACTGGAGAGAATGATTTTAGCAAGGGAGAAGGAGAAATGTAAGTTAGAAAGGCAGACGTGGGTCAGAGTGAGGTCATTCTCCAATGTTAGCCTGAAGGCTTTATCCCATAGGTAACAGGGAACAGTGGATGCTTTGGGAACAAATATCAACATAAAATAAATCACCAAAAATGCACTATCAGAGTTGCAGTGTCCTTAGAGAATTTTCAGCCACCACTCCCAGCTCCTCTAGATTGAAGCCCTTTGTATGTAGAAGGGAGATTTATTTTCCCTGTTCCCCACAGTGCCTGGCAGAAAGTAATCATTCAATACAAACTTAATTTAAAAATGAAAGGGTAGAGAAGGAAATGGTAACCCACTCCAGTATTCTTGCCTGGAAAATCCCATGGACAGAGGAGCCTGGTGGGCTACAGATCATAGGGTTGCAAAAGACTCAACACGACTGGGTGACTAAAGAAGACCATGGTAAAAATATTTTTAAGAGTAAAGGGTATTTTCTTACCTCTGTTGTTGTTTTAAAATAGCATTTAAAAAGGTAAAATTAATATGCATGCATACTAGGTCACTTCAGTCATGTCTGATTCTTTGCAACGCTATGGACCATAGCCAGAACGGCTCCCCTATCCATGGGATTCTCCAGGCAAGAATACTGGAGTGGGTTGCCGTCCCTTCCTTCAGGGGATCCTGCTGACCCAGGGACTGAACCTGTCTCCTGCATTAGCAGGTGAATTCTTCACCACGGAGCCACCAGGGAAGCGTGGTATTACATGAGAATGAATTCAAAGTATAGACACATCCTATACACATGTTAACACATACAGTTATATATAGGATATAGATTGTTCATGCAGATATGGGCAGCAAAAATTCTAAGTGAGTAAACTTTGCCACACTGGGAGCTTCATGTTTCAGTGTATTCAAATGTCTGGGGAAGTAGGGAATCAAATTGGTAATTGCATTTTACACTCAAAGCCTAAACTACATCACTGTGTTTATAAAGCGTGACTAGTTATAGTAGGTACAGGGCCCTGGAAATACCAATTCTTTCTTCACAGGCTGTTGAGGCATCCTTTAAGAATTGAGTATTTTTCATGTTTCTATTCAGGATGAAATCAACCACACTCGGCTATAGTCTGTAGCTAAGACGCAGGTGAGTAAACCAGATTTTAGGGTGAGATTATTGTGATGTGATGCCTGAAAGGTAGGAAGTGCCTCTCGGAGTCCTGGGCTCTCAGAACTGGAAGGAATAATGTACATGAAGGTGCTCTGAGGAGGCTCCAGCTAAAGACTGAGTTAAATGTCCTGGAAATCAACTTACAAGTAAGTTAAAAAATAACAAGCGTCCCACATTTCCCAGCTCCTTTAATTGAAGTATTTTCTACCTTGGAGGCCCCGTTTGAAATGCAACACTCCTGGGAGCGGTCACACCTTAAATTATCAGCTGACACTTTTGGAGAGATTGGCCAACAGCCCACGGAGAGAAAGAAAGAACGAGGTGTAGGCATAGTGCCTGGGGGTGAGGGGAAAGCAGGAGGGAAAGGCGGGGAGAGCGTACTTGATAACCAGACTCCAACTCAAGAGTACAGTCCAGGCTCCTCACCGTGTGGTGCTGGGCTTCGACTGAAAAGACAGATGGCTGCTCCTCTGTTGCTATGCAAGACATTTCAGCACATCTGGATGGTCTCAGAAGCAACTTGAATCTGCTTAAGGGGGTCAGGCAGGAAGGCGAACATCATCAACCCTAAAAACAATGGGTAAGAATTGACTTTTGACTTCAAGTACATTTAAACAATCCCTGAGGGGTGTTTGTACACTGGAGATCAGACTTTGAAGTAATATAAACACATGTTAAGTAAAGACATTTGTTTGTTGTCGTTCAGTTGCTGAGTCGTGTCCGACTCTTTGAGACCCCATGGACTGCAGCACACCAGGCTTCCCTATCCTTCACTATCTCCCGGAGTTTACTCAAGTTTACTCAAGCTCATGTCCACTGAGCTGGTGATGCCATCCAACCATCCCATCCTCTGTCGTCCCCTTCTCCTCCTGCCCTCAGTCTTTCCCAGCATCAGGGTCTTCTCCAATGAGTTAGCTCTTAGCATCAGGGGGCCAAAGTATTGGAGATTCAGCTTCAGCATTAGTTCTTCCAATGAACATTCGGGGTTGATTTCCTTTAGGATTGACTAGTTTGATCTCCTTGCTGTCCAAGGTACTCTCAAGAGTCTTCTCCAGCACCACAATTCAAAAAAATCAATTTTTTGGCACTCAGTCTTCTTTATGGTCTAACTCTCACGTTCATACATAACTACTGAAAAAAATACAGCTTTGACCAGATGGACTTCTGTCAGCAAAAGTCTTTGCTTGTCTTTGCTTTCTAATGGCAAACCACTCCAGTATTCTTGCTGTCAGAACTCCATGAGCTTCATGAAAAAGTAAAGATGTAGTCAACAGAATAGCCAGTACAGATAAACCTACATCCTGAACACTCATCAGATTCTTCTAGTGCTGCAACTAGGATGCTCTACCAAAAACCATTGCTGAAGAATTTGAAAAATAGATTTCTCTTCTGCTTCAAGAATCTATTTTTAAAATTTTTACATAGTAACCAAAAAATTGTTTTCCTTGTGATGAAGACTTTGAAGATCTACTATTTTAGCAGAATGAAATAATGCCATTTGCAGCAAGATGGATGTAACTAGAGATTAATAATACTAAGTGAAGTCAGAAAGAGAAAGTCAAATACCTCATGATACCACTTGTATGTGGAATCTAAAGTATGACACAAGTGAACTTGTCTATGTGGCAGAAACAAGCTCATAGGCATAGAGAGCAGATTTGTGTTGGTCACGGAGAGGGGCAGAAGGATGTGGAGTTTGGGATTAGCAGGTGCAGACTACTATATATAGAATGGATAAACAATAAGGTCCTACTATATAGCACAGGAAACCATATTCAATAACCTATAAAAATCATAATGAAAGGAATGTGAAAAATAATATATAAATACACACACATATATATTTACAACTGAATCACTTTGTTATACAGCAGAAATTAATATAACTGTAAATTGACTATACTTCAATAAATTTTTAAAAATACTCTTCAGCAACTTTCAAATATGCGATACAGCAACTTCAATTACAGTTATGACCCAGATAATCACGATGGTGTGATCACTCACCTAGAGCCAGACATCCTGGAATGTGAAGTCAGGTGGGTCTTAGAAAGCATCACTATGAACAAAGCTAGTGGAGGTGATGGAATTCTAGTTAAGCTATTTCAAGTCCTGAAAGATGATGCAGTAAGAGTGCTGCACTCAATATGCCAGCAAATTTGGAAAACTCGGCAGTGGCCACAGGACTGAAAAAGGTCAGTTTTCATTCCAATCCCTAAGAAAGGCAATCCTAAAGAATGCTCAAACTACTGCACAATTGCACTCATCTCACATGCTAGTAAAGTAATGCTCAAAATTCTCTAAGCCAGGCTTCAGCAATATGGGAACCGTGAACTTCCAGATGTTCAAGCTGGTTTTAGAAAAGGCAGAGGAACCAGAGATCAAAGTGCCAACATCTCCCTGTCCATTACCAACTCCCAGAGTTTACTCAAACTCATGCCCATCGAGTCGGTGATGCCATCCAGCCATCTCATCCTCTGTCGTCCCCTTCTCCTATTGCCCCCAATCCCTCCCAGCCTCAGGGTCTTTTAAAATGAGTCAACTCTTCGCATGAGGTGGCCAAAGGATTGGAGTTTCAGCTTCAGCATCAGTCCTTCCAATGAACACCCAGGACTGATCTCCTTCAGGATGGACTAGTTGGATCTTCTTGCAGTCCAAGGGACTCTCAAGAGTCTTCTCCAACACCCCAGTTCACAAGCATCACTTTTTTGGCACTCAGCTTTCTTCACAGTCCAACTCTCACATCCATACGTGACTACTGGAAAAACCATAGCCTTGACCAGATGGACCTTTGTTGGCAAAGTAATGTCTCTGCTTTTAAATATGCTGTCTAGGTTGGTCATAAGTTTCCTTCCAAGGAGTGAGTATCTTTTAATTTCATGGCTGCAATCACCATCTGCAGTGATTTTGGAGCCCAGAAAAACAAAGTCAGCCACTGTTTCCACTGTTTCCCCATCTACTTCCCATGAAGTGATGGGACCAGATGCCATGATCTTAGTTTTCTGAATGCTGAGCTTTAAGCCAACTTTTTCACTCTCCTTTTTCACTTTCATCAAGAAGCTCTCTAGTTCCTCTTCACTTTCTGCCATAAGGGTGGTGTCATCTGCATATCTGAGGTTATTGATACTTCTCCTGGCAATCTGGATTCCAGCTTGTGCTTCTTCCAGCCCAGTGTTTCTCTTGATGTACTCTGCATATAAGTTAAATAAGCAGGGTGACAATATAAAGCCTTGACGTACTCCTTTTCCTATTTGGAACCAGTCTGTTGGTCCATGTCCATTTCTAACTGTTGCTTCCTGACCTGCATACAGGTTTCTCAAGAGGCAGGTCAGGTGGTCTGGTATTCCCATCTCTTTCAGAATTTTCCAGTTTATTGTGATCCACACAGTCGAAGGCTTTGGCATAGTCAATAAAGCAGAAATAGATGTTTTTCTGAAACTCTCTCGCTTTTTCGATGATCCAGCGGATGTTGGCAATTTGATCTCTGGTTCCTTTGCCTTTTCTAAAACCAGCTTGAATATCTGGAAGTTCACGGTTCCCATATTGCTGAAGCCTGGCTTAGAGAATTTTGAGCATTACTTTACTAGCGTGTGAGATGAGTGCAACTGTGCAGTAGTTTGAGCATTCTTTGGGATTGCCTTTCTTAGGGATTGGAATGAAAACTGACCATTTTCGTTCCTGTGGCCACTGCTGAGTTTTCCAAATTTGCTGGCATATTGAGTGCAGCACTTTCACAGCATCATCTTTCAGAATTTGAAATAGCTGAACTGGAATTCCGTCACCTCCACTAGCTTTGTTCGTAGTGATGCTTCCTAAGGCCCACTTGACTTCACATTCCAGGATGTCTGGCTCTAGGTGATTATCACCATCGTGATTATCTGGGTTGTGAAGATCTTTTTTGTACAGTTCTCTGTGTATTCTTGCCACCTCTTCTTAATATATTCTGTTTCTGTTAGGTCCCTACCATTCCTGTCCTTAATTGAGCCCATCTTTGCATGCAATGTTCCCTTGGTATCTCTAATTTTCTTGAAGAGATTTCTAGTCTTTCCCATTCTATTGTTTCCCTCTATTTCTTTGCAGTGATCGCTGAGGAAGGCTTTCTTATCTCTCCTTGCTGTTCTTTGGAACTCTGCATTCAAATGGAATATCTTTCCTTTTCTCCTTTGCTTTTTGCTTCCCTTGTTTTCACAGCTATTTGTAAGGCCTCCTCAGATAGTCATTTTGCTTTTTTGCAGTTCCTTTTCCATGGGGATGGTCTTAATCCCTGTCTCCTGTACCATGTCACGAACCTCCATCCATAGTTCATCAGGCACTCTGTCTATCAGATCTAGTCCCTTAAATCTATTGCTCACTTCCACTGTATAGTCATAATGGATTTGATTTAGGTCATACCTGAATGGTCTAGTGGTTTTCTACACTTTCTTCAATTTCAGTCTGAATTTACCAATAAGGAGCTCATGATCTGAGCCACAGTCAGCTCCAGCTCTTGTTCTTGCTGACTGTATAGAGCTTCTCCATCTTTGGCTGCAAAGAATATAATCAATCTGATTTTGGTGTTGGCCACCTGGTGATGTCCATGTGTAGAGTCTTCTCTTGTGTTGTTGGAAGAGGGTGTTTGCTATGACCAGTGCGTTCTCTTGGCAAAACTCTATTAGCCTTTGCCCTGCTTCATTCTGTACTTCAAGGCCAAATTTGCCTGTTACTCCACGTGTTTCCTGAGTTCCTACTTTTGTTTTCCAGTTCCCTATAATGAAAAGGACATCTTTTTTGGGAGTTAGTTCTAGAAGCTCTTGTAGGTCTTCATAGAACTGTTTAGCTTCTTTAGTGTTACTGGTTGGGGCATAGACTTGAATTACATGATATCCCATGTCTGAATATGAAATCTACTCTTAACTTTTCTTAGTACCCTGGCTATAGCTTTTATGCATTACCTTCAAACATCTGCTTATATTGATCAATTAACGGCAGAAGCTCGTCACAGTGCTTTCTTGGAACCATACCACCCAGAGAAAATATTTTGTTGAGATTATTTTTCATATTTTTTCCTATAGACTTCCTGGAAGCCATAGTGCTTAGTAAGCTTTTCAAAGTTTAATTGGGTCTGTAACTGCATTGGTCGACCCTAATGGCCTTAAGTATTACCAAAAGTTGCTGAGCATGGGCTTTGTAAATATGTATTTTGTGAATATTAGCTCCATGCACAATCATGGCAGCATACACAGCAAAGATAGAAGATGCCAGAACTAGCAGCCATCCAACTGTGTTTTCCCATCCATTTGTGTCTCTGTCACCAAGAACCTTCTCACTTTTGCTAACAAGTACCAAAGAACACCTGCCAGAATTTTAATTATTTTTCCATATTTTCAACTTCAGGTGACAAGATGCATGAGCAACAGAAGGGTCAAAAGTGTTAGTATCCTTAGACAAGCTTTGTTGTTGTTGCTCAATCACTAAATCATGTCCGACTCTTTGTGACCCCATGGACTGCAGCACACCAGCCTTTCCTGTCCTTCACTATTTCCCAGAGTTTGCTCAAATTCGTGTCCATTGAGTCAGTGATGCCATCCAACCATCTCCTCTGTCATCCCCTTCTTCTCCTGCCCTCAATCTTTCCCAGCATCAGGGTCTTTTCCAACGAGTCAGCTCTTCACATCAGGTGGCCAAAGTATTGGAGCTTCAGCTTCAGCATCAGTCCTTCCAGTGAATGCTCAGGACTAAACATTTGATCCAGGCAGCCAAGAATGAGAGGTAGGCTCTTGCTATTAGATTTTGGACTTTAAACAATTTTAGGGGAAAATTCTATTAGTTGGTTAGTCATATAAATATTATACATCTACTCTTATTTCCCTGAATCTTTGTATGAAAGCCTTTGTCTGTAAGATCACTGAATCTTAGAGAAAAGTGTAAATGTTGAACAATCTGAAAAGGCAAGTCAGAGAAACCCACTTACAAAGGCTTCCACCCGGCCCAAATTTGTAAGTAATACAGCTGACGTGACCTTCTGAAAGTGCATGACACCCAAGCTACAGGGTCTGCTCTTCAAAGCTTCCTTCTGGCCCTGCAGCCATTTCTAGGTCTGCCAAGAGGAAAAGATGTTCTTCAGCTGTCTGCATAAGGGGTCTCAGAAAGGAACCTGAGACCCTCTCCTTCCCGGAAGCCTGGAGACTGGCCAGCCGCCACCCCAGGCCCACGTGACGGAAGGAGAGCCAGACTGCTTCCCAGGCAACATCACTTGTGTGCTGTAAACGGTGTCCCCCTCCTTAACAGGGTACCCTACCTGGCAGCTCGCTCGCTTCCGTCGGGACCCAAACCGTCTGTCGTCAGAAACACCAACAACCCCGTTTGCCCATCAGCTCCGAGGTGATGACTTACAGGTGAGAAGACCCTTCTCATTCTAACAGATTCCCCTGCTGTTTGGAGACCAGGAAGGAGGATTCCTACTTAATTTAACACCCACTCCCCCCGAACATTGGACTGATTTGAAAAGATCGTTGTTTTGACGACCACGTTGACCTTTCTTTCAAACAGAGGAGCAGCTCATGGTGGGGATGCCTTGGGCTCCGACCCAGCAAATTGGAAGGATTTCACGCAGCCAGGCTGAGTGCAGGGGCTCTGGAGCCCAGCACGGGATGCGGCTTCCTCCCTCATCTCTGCCTCCAGGCTGGGTGGGCTTGGGTGAGTTTCACCATCTCTAAATCTCATCAGCTCCTGAAGCATAAAGATCACTGGGAGGTGATCTTTTATATGCGATGGTGCATTGAAGCGTTTTGCTCTATGCCTTAGAGGCATACAGTGCATGGCATACCTACATAGTTATAATTGTTATTAATACTAAGAAGTCCCAAAAGGGGGCATTATCAGTTTCCTATTGATTTGGCAAAACAGCCTCAGTAGTTTCTGGAATTTGATTCACAGTTGACCATGAATTACGGAAAGGGCAAAAAGATGAAATTCCTTAAAATATAAATCTCAAGGGTATAGAATAGAATCAAAGAACCCTGTGAAACTGAACACAAATCATGCTTTGTTTTCAAGGAAAATTGTGCTTGAATTACCAGCCTAAATATTTCAATACACTTTGTGAGACACATGTTTTCTTGGGATGATAAAATGTGTATTTTGCAAAAATAAAAAATAGAAAGATTTCCAAAAGGACTGAAATACATATTTCAGTGGGGTCTTCGATCTTGGTTGCGGCATGCAGGATGCTCACCCGCAGCATGTGGGATCTAGCTCCCAGCCCAGGGACTGAACCTGGGCCGCCTGCATTGGGAGTGCAGAGTCTCGGCCACAAGCCCCCTGGCTAAGTCCCTCAGATCTATTTCTCAATGCTGTTATCCAACTACGCAGCCCCCACTTAATGGAGATATACCACAAGGGTTCTGGTCACCAGGACAAAACCCTGTCTATACTTAAGGTTTAGTTTTGTACTTGGAATTCACAGTCGGTCTCACACACCACCTGTGTACTTACTGAGTATGAACCAGTTCTCAGAACTTTGTGAAAACTAGTAGAAGGGAGAGCCTACTGCCTTTGGAGGAGGAAATAGTGCTGTGTGTGATACTTGTCATAAATGTTGACAGAATCCAGAGCAAGGGTTTGCCTTTGGGGTGAACAGGCGAATCGGCAGCACCTGTGGTAACGAAGGTCATGAACTCCTGGGCAGAGTCTGGTCAGGGCCGTGATAAAGGGCCGGCCATGGGGCTTGGAAGGTCCATGACCTCTCCAGGAAACCTCAGCTTCCCATTGCAGCACTGCTCACCGTGGACAACGGGTCCGCTTTGGAAGAGCTGGACCCCATTGTCTGCAGCAAGGTCAGGCCTGAGAAGCCGAAGACCAGGGGCACCAGACCTGGCGTCCGGCCACACACAGCCCGGAGCAGTGGTCAGCATCTCTGCCAGCCACGCTTCTGCAGACAGCCTGGTCACCCCCAGCCGGTGGCCGAAGGATCATATCTCACCACCTGTTGGCCAGAATGTCTGATTTTGCTTCAAATATCTGAAGATACGCTTGAAGCTAGAGTGCCCAAGTCACCTGGCCACATCTCCACATCCACGCACTGGCTGCTCACGGTCAACCCGGCGGGCACCAGGGCCTGGGGGGACAGAGGGGGGCATCCACAGTCTCCCTTCTGTCTGCAGTGCAGACCGTGTGACGGGGACGATAGACAAAACAGTCAAATTCCACTGCTAAACATGAACCCTGAACGGAGGCCCCCTTGTCCCCCAGGTTTTCAGCTAAAGAGAAAGGGCTCAACCGCGGGACGAGGTGGAAGCTCTGACAGCCGACCTTGTGGATCTCGGAGGCTGGAAAAGACCAGGGGCTGGGAGGGGTGGGGGAGGGCTCCCCGAAGAGGAGCGGTCCCAGCAGGGCTTTGAAGGAGAAGGGCCCCTGTAGGCAAAGTGTAAGGGTGGTCCTTCAGAGCCACCGCCGCCCCCAAACCTAAAACCAGCCTTTCCCATTTTTCGTCAGCCTCTGTCAGCGTCATTTACCCCTAAGACTCTGTGCAAAGGAAAACCATTAAAAGCGATCAGTAATTAGAGATAATTACTTCAGTGGAAGAGATTTTTGTTTTCCTAACCTCCTCTCTCTGTCTGCAGAAAGGCAGCTCTCGGTTACATCTGCTGTGGGAAGACGTTGCTCTGCTTCCTTTAAAGAAGAAGTCACTGTTTGATTTGGTTTCTCGTCCTTGATGTGTCAGCCCCGGTCTCTTGCCTCTCCATTCCAGGAAGGAAAAATAAAAGAACAAGGCTCTTTAAATATCAGAGTGATGGTTGCTTACATATACAGCCTCAATATTTTATACAACAGCCACTTAGGAAACGCGTAAGAATCTCCCAGCTGGCAGCTTTGATTTGGCAGGTGCACCTCCACTGAACCAATCACTTCTGATTGGGCTGCAACTCGTTTGGTTAATCTGGCTGCATTGCTCCAGTGTGTTTTTATTTCAAAAGGTCATTCACCTCTTCCACGGTTCAAAGGGACCATTTTGTTCATTTAAAGGGTGACTGTAATGATATAGGAAGACAGAGCCAAGGACGTGAGTTAGAATTGTGAGTAAAGCCAGTAGGAAAACCTAGGAATACAAACCACAAAACACACACAAAAAATAAACACATAAAAATATCATTCCTCCATTTTAAAAAAGTGAAAAAAAACCAACATTTCTAAACCACACTGTAAGAGTTTTATTCTGTAATAAAATTATAATCACACGTGCTATAAATACTTCATTTATCTATTTAATCCATATTCTGCATTGGCCACATATTCTAGTTGCCTGCTTGATTTAACTAACCCATGGCAAATAAAAACAAGAGATTTATATAAATTGGGTTTGTACCTAGCTTGTGATGGAGTCCACAACTAAACTTAGGTCTTACTTGATCAACTGAATAGTGATGTATCTTTCCCACCTCTGTGGGCAGGAGATGAAGGGGGCCTAATGAAATTGTCATAAGTGACTGTTAACAGAGGTCAAGTTGTACTGCTCTCCGCACGACAGGCCAGTGGATCAAAAGACCAGTTGCTGGTACAAGGAATAGCAATTTTATTTAGAAAGCCAGTCAACTGAGACGATGGGGGGCTAACGCTCCAAAGACCCATTTTCCCTAAGTCAGAATTCGGGCTTCTTTTATACTAGAAGGGGAAGGGGTCCAGTCCTGGCTCTGGTCAGCCTGCAGAGGGGACGTGTCACTTTCTTCCTTCCTGCATCCGTTCACAGGTGGGCCAGGTCAGGGTGTCTCCTGCGAGCAGAGCAAAGGTATTTTAGCTTAGCCCTCAGGACCTGGGAGGCAGGGTTCCCAGAGGTGGGCCAGTATGTAGAATTTAAACTTATAGGCCACACCCCTTTAGTGATGAACTTGGAATAGGGTACAAAGGTTCTTCCCTAGGGAATTCCCTGGTGGTGCAGTGGGTAAGAATCTGCCTGCCAGGGTGGGGGACGCGGGTTCGATCCCTGGTCTGGGAAGATTGCACGTGCTTCGGAGCAACTAATCTCATAAGCACTGAGTCAGTGCATTGTAGGGCCCATGAGCCACAGCTACCGCGCCCCTGCGCCTAGAGCCCGCGCTCCGAAACAAGAGAAGCCAGACCAAAGTAAATCAACACGTCAAACCCCTCCATCCTTAGAAAGAAGACAGTGAAAAGGGTTTTCCCTGTTATGTGGACAGCTTCCCTCTCTCCCGGGGTCGGCCCACTTCCAGGGAACCGGAAACCCAGCTGTGGCGGCATCGCCTTTCTCGTGACCCAGAAAAGGCCCCTCTCGCAGCAAGCATGAGGGCATGTGCTTCTCAAATATAACAGGCTCACTGGCTACACTCGCGCTTGACGGAAGCGTGGCTTGGCCGACCATAGGCTCTGTTCAGGGAACACGGGTAGCCGTCACTTGGTTGTACCATATTACGATATTTGATTTACATGAGATTCTTTATCATCAGAATACTGTGGCTTTCACAGATGTTTGGCCTGTGAAAATGCTGAAGTTAGCGATTTATTTGTGCTACCATCCACCTGTATTTACGGAGACCACGAGGCAGAAAGCAGAACCCCTTGGAAGCCGAAAAGAACGTGCATGAGCTCCGCCACTGACTGTCGTGGCGCTTTCCAATCTGGTCCTTCCTGAGCCTGACTTTCTCGGGTGTGAAAACACAGGCGCTATGACCTAGGGCAGAGTTGGTGCGACTGCCAGGCTCACGTGGATGGAAGAAGGGCTGAGCACGCTGCCTGGCAGGACAGACACGCCGACCCATCGGTGGGGCTCATCAGCACCCTCCCCCTAAGAACCCCCAACCCCACATGGTCCCAGCGGCAAACGCCAGCACTGAAAGGCGTGTGTCTGACCCTCGGGCAGGTGTGCTGGGCTGGGAGCAGAAGTCGGTCATCTCAACATCTGTGTTTATCCGCCGACTGACACCCTTGCCGTCTCTCCCCAAGCTGGGCCTGAATATGGGAGTGGGGGGGAAGCCCACGCTCCCGTTCGGGAGTGCAGAGGCCCCGTGGACATGCATGCAAATGCACCAGGGTAATTACTGCCAGTCAAGCCTTTCCTCTTACCTACATGCTCAGCTGACGCAGGCCCTGTTCACAAACACAGCATCCACGCCAGGACTTGGACCAAATAGCACCTCAAGCACAAACCAGAACAAACGGCACTAATTTGCTTGAACCCCAAATGGAGCCAAATTCGAAGCTTTTATTTTTGAAACTGCTAGTAGCAGAGAACCACAGCTTCAAAAACACCAGGAAAAGAGCCTCAACCAGACATTACGACAGGAAAGATGCCTGAAATCTATTTCAGTGTGAAAATGCCATGGCGTTCTTATTCTCCTTTCTAAAACTGCTGAATCTGTTATTAACATGATAACCTACATCA